CTCCATCATCCAGATGGACCCATGACCACAGCGTTCCCACTTCTTTATCTCATTGACATTTCAGAACTCTCCCGAAAACGGAGCAAACATTTAATCAATAACTTAAGACAAACGTCCCTGACTTTTGCTCCCGTGTTCATCGTGCTCTAAGTGTCCCGAGCAGAGCCGAGTCTCACCGCCAACGAATTGCTCAACCTTGACACGACTGGTTAAAAAACAAAACAAAACCAACCACTGAGATGCCAAATCCGGTGGGTTTTTTTGTTGCTTCGTAATGAATGAGTCAGGCAGAGGAAAACTGGACTAAGCCATCAAAGAAAGGAGAGAAAAGGCAGGCACCTGCTTAATCCTGTTCTGTTCAGGAACCTGAACCTAATCCAGGTTCCTGAACCTTAATCCTGTTCTCCATGAACGCAGATAACCCCAAAATACTGTTGGGTGTTGAAAGGGTTTGGTTTTTGGTTTGTTTTGGTTTGTTTTTTTCCCTATGAACTCAGAGCTCACGCATTTTGGTTTCACGGCTTAACAGTGCCCTGGCATCCCGGTGGGTTGGGGGTTTTCATGGAAAGAGGGATAACTCCTGCCCTGCACCCCGTGCCCGGTACCATCCAGCCCTGTTATGGGCATCCTGATTCATTCCTGGTATCTAAAGGGGATAAACTCTTGGATTGTGCACTCAAAACAACACCCTGATTTATAAGGAGCCATTTCCCCGCAGGCTGCTCCCTGCCCAGCTCTTCCTTTGGGGGTTACACAAACTTTTCCCCCTCCCTGGCTCTGGGTAATCCCTGGATTCTGGTGCAGGATGGGCTCTGACGTGGTTGCCCGGCAGCGTTTCCCCTCCTGGCGCTGCAGGGAGGCATTTTGCAAAGTCACAGCTCATAATCCGCTGATAATAGGGATTAAAATTACACAAGCCGTCAGCAGGGCTTCCAGGTCCTCATCACGGAGGAGCCGTGTCGCTCCTCATGTCCCCACGTGCCCGGGGAAGGTAAAACCTGAAGCCCAGAGATCCCAAAGCCCTTTATCCCCAAACTGGAGCAAACCCCATGTACGAGGTGGGTTTCAACACCTCTGGGTGCTGTTCTGCTCCCACTGCCAGAGCTGCCAAGGGCACCCACTCAGCACCCACTCCTGTGCCCCTGCCTGGACTCCTCACCCATGGAGGCATCTCTACCACCCAGTAAAGCCACCCCACTGCTGGGGTCAGGGGGTGCTGATGTGCCCCTTGGAAATCACCGCAGCAAAAGGCACCTTTACCCTTGGGATGGCTGCTTCCCTCAGCTCACATCCCACCCGGGAGCACCAAGTGGGCTCCAGCATCCAGATGGACTCATGATCACAGCACCCCATGCCACTGCAAAGACAGAGGGATGGAGGACAGAGTGATGGAGGACAGAGGGACAGCAGTGTTTACCTCCATCCATCCATCCCCACTAGCCAGGATCTCACTGCATGTTGCCCCCAGGAAGGAGGCACAGCCCATCTCAAAGGCTTTGAGCTTCCTTGTAAACATTGGTTTGTAAAACACACGATCCCTTTAGAGGTGACGCACCAAAAGGCTTCCATGGTGAGCCCAGCAGGACACCAGGGACAGCTTCAGTGGCTTCCCTCTCCTTGGCTGTGAAGCCAAGTCACAGAGACCACAGATCTGCTCCCCAAGAACCATGGGGCAACATCTGTCCCCACCAGCATCACACCAACACGATGCAGAAGATGCTTGTAATGACCCACGAGCTCTCTGGGCAGAGGGGATGGGGGACAGCGGGTGGCATCTCACCTCGCCTGCTGGATGAACCGTGTTGCCTCCTCTGCGTAGCGTTCTGTCAGGCTGCTGAGGTTGACGGGCTGTTGGATGATGGTGACGTTCTCGAAGAGAGGAAGGGCCACCTCCACGTAACAATCCTTTCTCACCACCCTGCCAGGAAGAAGCCACCCCATCCTTGTCACTGGAGTGGGGACCGGTGTGGGTGCAGGCGCAGAGCCTGGTTGTTCTCTTGGCTTTGCAGAAGAGCACAACCAAGAAGGGGAGCAGAAAGGAGATGATGCCAACATCCCCATGGCACAGGGTGCTCGGGGATCAACCCACCTCCTCAACCTGTGTCCTGCTGTGGGGTGCACAAGGGGAAAAGATGGGTGCATGGAGCACAAGGGGAGGCAACCACAGCAAGGGACAGCTCTCAGGGCTGGGGATGTTGGTGTGTCCAGCTCTGGAGCCCTCAGTACAAGAAAGATGTGGACCTGCTGGAGCAGGTCCAGAGGAGGACACAACAGTGCTCCGAGGGCTGGAACACCTCTCCTATGAGGACAGGCTGAGAGAGTTGGGGTTGTTCAGCCTGGAGAAGAGAAGGATCCAGGGAGACCTTATAGCAACTTTCAATACTTAAAGGGACCTATAAAAATGATGGGGACAAACTTTTTAGTAGGGTCTGTAGTGATAGGACAAGGGGAGATGGTTTTAAGTTAGAAGACAGAGATTTAGAATAGATAGAGAGGAAATTTTTTAAGCTGAGGGTGGTGAGACACTGGCCCAGGTTGCCCAGAGAGGTGGTAGAAGCCCCATCCCTGGAAACATTCAAGGTCAGGTTGGACGGAGCTCTGAGTGACCTGATCTGGTTGAAGATGTCCCTGCTCACTGCAGGGGAGTTGGACTAGATGACCTTGAAAGGTCCATTCCCACTCAAACCAGTCTGTGATTCTATAAAATACCCACCTCCCAGTGCCAGCACTCGAACCCTCCACGTGTCCCCGTACCTGGCAGTCGTGTTGTGCCGCGGGCAGGGTGGGCAGGGTGGCAGGTTGTAGCCAGGGGTGTCCGTGCAGCCCATGTCATGGCTGTAGGGGATCCCAAAGTAGTAGTCAAAGCCTGAGGGGCAAGTGATGGTGTTGGTGGGGGTGAGGTGATCACGGGATGCTCAGCTCACCCCTGCCAGCGCAGCCCTTACCACGGAAGCTGGGGTGATGGTGGCCATGGTGTCCCAGGTGCCACTTGCCTGCATGGAAGTCATAGAACATCATTTCAGAGGTTAACACAGCTACAGCCACCACCACCCATGAGATACCTGCAGGGCTGAGGACTTTAATCTCCCAACAAGAAACTGTGATTCTATGATTCTATCATCTTCATCATCGTCCCCACCATCTCCCCACCCCAGATGTCCCCCCGGCATGGCGGGTGTTACCTATAGCCCCCGTGCTGTACCCAGCCTCTCGCAGGACCTCGGCCAGGGTGGTCTCATTCAAGGGGAGGCCACCGACCGACGTGACAGCGAAGTTGTGGGTCACCCCATTGCGTGCGCCAAGACGCCCCGTGAGCAGAGAGGCGCGGGATGGGGAGCAGGTGGACGCGGCCGAGTGGAAATCCACGAACCTGGAAGACAAAAGGACCCTTCATGGTGAAGGTCTAATGCTGCCCCGTCCCTCCCTGCTCCCTTCTACCCCAGGCATGAGGGTCTGGAGTGGGGAATGAAGCTCACAGGTCCCAGTGAGGATGGATGGACCTGCACCCCAAGGTGCTGGGCTCTGGGCACCCTCCCTGTGCACCCAAAACCTCATCAGTGAAATCCCACAGCCTGCCAGTCCCACAGGACCGAATTTCCCTTTGCTGTGGGACAGAGTAACCAGGGATGTTTACCAGAGTAACCAGGGAGGGGCGACAGACGTTACCTTGTCCCTTCAGCAGCCAACTCATCCAAATGCGGGGTCTCCTTTGTCTCTGCCCAGTTGGCCCCTAGATCCCCCCAACCCACATCATCTGCCAGGATGATGATGAAGTTGGGTTGCCCATACACTGCACGGGGAGCCGACAGCCCCACCAGTGCCACAGTGAGCACCAGCACCACCCATGGGAAGGGGGTCCCCATGGTGCCACGTGTCCCCTCCCATCCACGTTGGGACACTGGTGGCTTCATCTTCCCCAAATCCCCTCCGCTGTGTCCCTGTGGGTGTAGCTGAGCTCTCCACGGGTTGTCACAGTGATGCAAACATCCTCTCCCAGGGGATCCAGGAGCTCCGTGTTTGCTCCCTTGGCTACTGACTGAGCTGGCGACGTCTCCTCCGTTTTTCACACCCAGGCACAGCTGATATTCCTGAAATCGGTGCCAGCAAAGGTGTTATTCTTAGAAGTCAAAAACACCCTTTGAAGTCACTGTCACCCTATTTTTAACTTTCCTTCCTTCCTGGTAAATATCTAATTAGACACCAAACCAAAGTGGTATTTTTCCCTCCAGAAGCGTGCTCGATCCGTGGCAGCAGTTCCTCTCTCTTCACTACAGCTGGGGGGATGTTTGAGTCCCACAAACAGCTCTTTCCCCACAGAACATGCTCCTCAGCTCACCAAAGTGCTGGTCAACCTTGCTCCAGGCAGATAAATAACTGCTGTGGCTGTGATGGTGACGGTCAGTCCGTCCTTCACCTTGCACAGCTACAGCATCCCCTGCGCAAGAGAAACAAGATGCGATCAGGACCTGCAGCACCCATCCTGCACCCCAGCCCCAGGGCAGAACATCTTATCCAGACATCAAGACTTTGCCTTTGAAGTTGGATATTTTGCTGCCTGGCTCACCATGGCTCAACTGGAATGGACTGGAAACAACAACTGTCCCTTTCCCACCATCCATCGCCCAGGCTGGGATGGTTTCCCATGGTGCCGCCACCCCTGGGGAGCAGCGCTGCTCCCTCCCGCCTTGTTCAAGGGCTGCCACCCTCTCACCCCAGCACCATGGAGGGGAATGTGCAGGTTTTGCCTTTTTTTTCTAACAACCAACATGTTTTTGAAGCTCATTTTTTAAATTTAGTTCTGTTTTAGCTGTCTCACCGCTGTCAGAGAGCTGGAGCAGGTGCGGGCAGTGGCCATGGGGCACCAGGAGGGAGTTGCTCCCCGAGGCAGAAATGCAGAAATCCAGAGAAACCCAGAAGGCACCAAACCCAAAACCACCCAGATTTACAGGATTAAGCACATACAGCTGCTTAGGGCAGGATTTGGCATCCAGTGGTGGAGAGGTTTGAGGATAAGACCAAGACCAATGACCCCAAAGATCAATGGTAGAGATGGAGCCATGAAATACAACGTCTTGAGCACAAAATTATGGCCAAAGGGAGATGAGATTTGCCAAACACCCTGCTGAGCCCTGCGTGAGGAGCTCTGCACCAGCCGTGGGGACCAGCACTGTGGCACGTGTCCCCAGTTAGTACCAGCAACCAGAAGATAAAATAAAATAAAATAAAATAAAATAAAACAAAATAAAACAAAATAAAATAAAATAAAACAAAACAAAACAAAATAAAATAAAATAAAATAACATAACATAAAATAAAATATAAAACAAAACAAAGTGCATTTTTGCAAGCTAGACAAGGCAGTTCACATGAAGACAGATATGTCAAAACCAGATAAACCAGTTTAGAAGAACCCCAAAGCCTCTCCAACCAGTGCTGCTCAGGAGACCTTGGTGCTGGCTCCAGGGCAGGGGAGGGGAGATGCCTCCTCAGCTTGGGGATGCCACCACCACCAGCCCCACCAGCACTGAACACCCAGCACTAGGAGTATCTGTCAGGTATTTATTACACATTAACCAGAAGTTTACAAATCTTGGGGCCAGCATGATCATTTTCACATTTTTCACATTCTTTCACATTTTCACGCCTGCCTGGAGAGCAAAGCAGCAGCCGGAGCCCAGAAAAACCTGTTGCTCTTTGAAGCACGTCCGGTTGTGCCGGCTGTGCCGAGCTGTCCCCTGCCAGCACCTGGGGCTCACACCCCACAAGGGGTGTCACAGCTCTGATCTCGAGCCCAAACCCACGCCGGTGGCTCTGCTCTCCTGCCAAAATCCCCAGCAGGCATCTCCATCCCAGCTGTGAGGAGCAGGGAGATAAGGACACAGCGTGGGATGAGAAATTCAAACTGGAGTGGGCACCCGCTGTTACCCCAGCACCACCCTGGGGACTCCCAGCATCACCCCTCACGTCAGCTGGGGTTGGGGAAACTGAGGCAGAGAAATAGGAGTGATTGAACAAGATATGTGCTGGTTCCATAGGCTGAGTGATGCAGGATGGGGACGTGTCCCCATGGCGTTGACCCCAACCCTATCGCAGCCTGGAGGGGATGGATGGTGGCATATCCCTGCAGGAACATCCAGGCTTTCAAAGCAGAGAAAAAATTTTAAAAACCCATATTTTGCTTCCCAACTAACCACACACTGATTTGATGTTTGATTTGAGCATGGCAAAGGGCAGCAGGTGCCTTGTGAGGGGTTTATCCGTGGGGCTGAGGGTACCCAAGCTCTGCCTCTGCCCTATTAAGCCTCCTCGGTCCCGACGTGTTTACCACCAAAGCTCTATTCCCGGTACAACTGTCCTGACAATGCTCTGAACAGAGTCAAGACTTTATTCCAGGAAAAGGTTTTTCTACTGGAATGGTTTATACTAGTTCCCTTCACAGAATAAGCAGCACCGACAAAAACATACTTCTGCAGATTGACTAGGATTTCTGCCAGCTCCTGAGACAGGAGAAATGTTTTTTCACCCATTTAACTACGAGGTCTTTTAGAGAAAACATTACACATGCCGAGCAGGGCTGGGCGAACCCCAGCAGAATAAATGAACTGGAAGTCCCTGACCCATCCGGCAGCAGAACAACGGGGCCCACGTTCCCTGTCTGTTTGCAGCCCGTCTTGTTTGCCAGCTCCCAGCTGATTTATACCCGCTGACAGGGACACTTGCCCTCCTTCCCTATGCTTTACAGAACCCTCAAACCTCAGTTTTTTCCTCAAACCCCAGTTTTTTGTTGTTTTCTTTTTTATTTTTTCCCCCATGACACAGGCTGGGAATGGTGTAAAAATCCCCAGGAAGATGGAGAACATCATCCTGGTGCAAATCAGGACCTGCAATGGATGTGTCAGGGCAAAGCATCCTGGCCAAGCCCTGTCTGAAGGAAATTGGGGGTGAATAACATGGGGGAAAAATCATTTCACAGCAGAGAATTGAGCCCGAGAGGTTGTGACCACCAGCCCTATCCCTTCCCATGGTTCCCCTCCAGCCCCATTGCTCCCCATTACTGCACCTGGAGAACCCAAAGGGAAGGAATGAGAAGGTGAAGCAGAGAGAGATGCAAAGTACTGACAAGAAATACCGAGGAGTAAATTGCCTTTGTTGTTTCATGCCAAAGATATTTGCATTCTTATTTCTCCCCTGGAGGCACAAACCTCTTTTGTTGTCCCATAACCACTTGCACTGTCACTGCCAGGAAGAATTACAGCTCGGGAAGGGTGACCCATTCTCAAGGAAAAGCTTGGCCAGATGAGGTTATCACCCTTTATCTGCACCCCCAAAAGGTATAACCCCTCTTGGAACCCTTAATCTGCACCCCCAAGAGGTATAACCCCTCTTGGAACCCTTTATCTGAACCCCCAAAAGGTATAACCCCCTGGAGAACAGGGTTTCCCATGGGACAGGGCGATATGGGGCTCCCCAAGGACACACGGGGCGCAGTTCCCATCGCTCCCCGTAGCTCAGCACCTTGATTTGAGCTTGTTCAGGATGGGACTGCAAGGGGTGAAGCTGCTGAAACCTTCTGGCGAGGACAGGAGCGGCTTGTTGGAGGCAGCAAGTGCCATGAGAAATCAGTGGTGGCTTTCTCAAAGTCACCGAGAGAAGGCAATAGATAATTTGCCTGATTTGTCAGAAGTTTGCAGAATTTTGCTCCTGTTGCTCGCTACCCTTACCTGCTCCTTCCCACTATTGTAACAAAAATCAACCAACCAACCAACCAGCCAAACCCCCCCCAAAACCCCCAAGAGCAGGGACTCTGGCCAAACCAAAGCAGCAGCCCCTGCTGACGGGTGAAGCACTGAAGGAACATTTTCACCCAGTTGGTTTTTCTGAGGGTACAAATCAGAATCATCAGGTTCCACTTTAACCCAGCAAACTGCAGAGGGGTCCTGGACCAGCATGGGAGGGCAGGTGAGGAGGGTTCTGGTCACCTCTGAGCCCTCTGCTATTACCTGGGAACAAAAGTCACTGACCCACGAGCCTTGAGGAACGGGGTGAGGCTCCAAAACCTCCCTGGCAGTGTCTGTCCACGCCCAGCGCATCGAGGCCAGCACCGGGATGGTGGTGGTGGTGGCACAGAGAGCTGGGGAAAAAACTGTCAGGTTTTTTCCTCTTTTTTACTGATTTCAGGGAAATTTAGGGAAAACCCTAAAGCACCCATCACTTGAGCTCCATCCTCATTGCTAGGCATGGCTGGGAAGGACCTCAGCCCCGTGCTCTCCGTGACACATCTGCCCACCCCAGCTCCCTTCCTCCCCCATCCATGTAGGTGTGAGTCGGTCTCGCCCGCTTCCAGTTTGACTCACAAATCACCACTTTTTAAGTTCCCTACCTAAAAGGAGATGTTTTCTCCTAAAAATGCAACACGTGCTGCCCGCAACGCCAGAGCACAGAGAGGACAATTGCGCGCTGGTGTCCTCTGAAATGGCACAAAGGGTTTTGAGATGCGCTCATCCCATCCCATCCCCTCATCCCATCCCATCCCATCACATCCCCTCATCCCATCCCCAGTGCCTCGATGGCAGCTGCCTGCTCGGTTGTGATCCCAAACCCGGGATGCTCCTGGCTCCGCATCCTGCTGCTGCAGGGTGAGGAGGGAGGCGGATGGACGGACAGATTATGGCCATGCTACCCCTCACCAGTTTTGTGGCCCTATTGATAAACATTGATAAGGTCCTTTTAGATATTTATAAACATTGCCTCTCAGTCTCCTCTTCTCCAGGCTGAACAATCCAAGCAACTCCAGCATCTCCTCATATGGCTTCTCCTCTAAACTCTTCACCAATTTTGTGGCCCTATTGATAAACATTGATAA